TCACGGTATTTCGTGGTTGGAATGCTAGGATGTACAGGGTTGAGCATGCATCGGATGCTGCAGTAGATCACTGGGATCAGTTCCCGGTGATGCATTCTACCACCTTGTCTGATTGTACTCCCACCACCGCAGATGATCTAGGGGCGGCCCATGAGGACTACCGGCGATGGTATGAGCGATATTCTCATCCTAGACTCTTGCCCGACAGTCAGGCGTACAACGAGGCTGTCCCTGCGCGCGCCAACACAGATTACGTAAGTCGTTTACTAAATTTAGTTAGTATTCGTTCATTACAATTATTTTTTATATTTTAATTATGTGTATATATTTTCCTTCTGCTTTGTGTAGTGGGTCGGACGGTGGGGATCCCTTTCATCAGATATGCATAAGGAGATCGCGACACTTGCTCCTGATAGGGCGGCAATTTATGCAGAAAAACTGGCTCAGTTGAGGTTGGATTTCGACAGAGCGCAGTAGTGATGTAATAATTACTTCTTTTTTTTATATATTTTGTTTTGGATGTTGTCAGAAACCACCCGAATTGTTTTTTATTTTTTTATTTGTGGTTAGTTAATTTTATTTTCATCTAAACAAAAAATTCTCCCATTATATCACAATCTATCACTCGTAACGCATGAAAATAAAATTTAAAAAAAAAAAACCGCAGACATACGTCGAATATCACAATATATCAAATTCCAGCTGCAGTACGAATATCATTCCACAACTAGAACCTGCTCTGGTACTGATACGGCCAATCTCGAACCGAAACATCTCGGTATTTGTCCCAAAAAAAACACAAAGGCGGTAATGGAGAATCAGAACACAGATTGATACGAATGAAGTGTGAGTAGGAACCAAGATGACCTATGACGATCTCACAGTCAGGTCGTGTAGCCGTGGATGGTGCGCGGATCGGGAATACCGTCATACTAGCCATGTCCATATTGTTATCGTTGGGCCATAGCTTAGCAACACGACAACTGCATTGAACAGTGTAGCAATAGCAAAGAGGTCGCCCGTACCATTCATCCAATGCGCCTCGCCACAAGGACCCCCGTCCCATCTTATACGATCGATTGCGACGTCGACCCCATCCCAATAAAATGGAGCGTACAAATGAATGTTGGCTGCGACCTCATTTGCAATATTTCTTCTTACCACATCCCACTTCTGCTGATCCCTATAAATGTAACTCGCAACCACCCGAAATCCACAGTTCCCGTCCGGCGTCACATCCAGATAACTCTGTACGTAGCTGTGAACTACGTAGGGAATCCTACCACAATGTCGGTACTGAAAAAAATCCGTCTCGAATGTATCTGTAATATCAGAATAATTTCACGTCATAATTTATGTAATTGAATTTACAAACATAATTAGTCATCGTTCAGATAAAAAGTAAAATTAAATTACCTGTCGGATCTTGAGACGATGAGCTTGTCGGGGCACACGAAGAAATGCTTGTACGACCCACCGGACGACCTCTTTCCCTGTAGTCCCACATCGAAGAAGTGCTTTTACGCCCCGGCCGACGACCTGTTTCCGTGTACCCCGATTGCGATGGAGCACACGAAGAAGTGCTTTTACGCCCCGGCCGATGACCTGTTTCCGTGTACTCCCATCTCGATAGATCGCGTTTTGTTGAATTTTTCTTCTTGGGCCGACCTCTCGGATTTTCCTTCACTGCAGGTTCTGTGTATCCCTGTTGATCAGGGTGAAGCTGAGAGTCGATGAGATGATTCAGGTACCGTACAGTCGCAGGATCGGCCGCTTCAACCTCCTCGGCAAGCCTCCGAAAATAATCATGATCAGTCCATCCACTTGCCGATGCACTCTGCTGACCTGTCCGTACCGAAAATTTAAAGAATTATACAATATGCTCTATCAAAATTTGTATAAATAAAATAAAATTTAGGAGAAAAAAAAAATGTATTTAATGATGTTCTATAGATTTATTAATCTCGCAATTATACCTGGCTGCATCACCTCTAGTGTGCTCCAGAAGATGTGGATGTCGTCGGTCGTAATATTTCTACGTACAGTGTGTGCCTCCCTTAGCTCACAGGCACAAGGAAGTCCATGAGTGTATTTTAGTGCACAATCGCAGCGCTCCGAAACATCTTTGCCGAAGTCTCGCATCTTCTGAGGCTCATCATTCAATATATCAATACAGTAATGCGAGACCCGCAGTGTCAACTGCTCGAAAGGGAATTCCCTGCAGCCCGTACTCATCCTAAGTCTCGAAGACTCCAGCGTCTCCCTGGTAATACATTACATAACATAACATTCGACCGAAGTAAAATTTATAATCAATGCATTAATAACACAGTCTTACAGTATAAATTAAAAAAATATACCTGACTTTAGTCAGTTGAGAATCAATCTCTTTGTCACTCTTCTCCCAAACCGTGTCGAGCGAACCAGTCGACGTGTTAAGCCACCGCTTCAACGTAGCGTGGGAACTCTCCACCCTACACGACGTTGTGTTGCCAAAATGTAAGACAGTGTCCGTCCACACTTTGACAAACTTCTCCTTGTGCACTAGCCATGTCTGATCCACATATTCCAGCACACGAGGAAACATCGCGTATGTAACAGCCAAATCAGTTACGGCAGTTTTGTATTTGTCCCACGTGTTCGCCTCGACAACCTTCTTCCACTTGCCGTGCGTGAACTTCTGCGCGAAGATCTTATTTTTAGTTGTGGTTGTCGACGTTAATCGATAGACCTTGTCTTCCACATCCTTGTAGATGTGCCACGTGCAGAGTAAATGGGGCGTCGTCGGAAAATTCCTCTGAATAGGAGTGATCAACCCCAACTCCCTGTCACTGACAATGACTGTAGGATCTACATCAGGCCCAATCAAGAGTCTCAACCGCTGTAGGACCCAGTCATAGCTGTACTCGGTCTCGTCCTTGATAATTGCATAAGCAATTAAGAAATTCTTATTGCACGGCGTCATTCCAATCATCTCAACCAACGGCATGTGGTACCTGTGCAAATGAAAGCAGCAAGAAGAAAAAACATAGAAT